AACCTTTCCACCAGGCACTAGCGGGAAATATTTGGTGGTCCCATTAGCGTAGTGGGTTGGCGCGTCATACTTATAAGTGGTGAGGAATTGCAAGAGTCAGCAGTTCTAGGTTGCTATTGAGTGAGGTTGCTTTGAAGTGTTAGACTAGAAGACTATTAACGTTGATATATGGTTTCCTTATATGACTGATTGTATAAAGTTAGGTCATAAGCTTGAAAACGGTGATAAAGCTACAGCGTATAGTTAAAATTATATTCCCCTACGGCTACGAATTGTACCTGTTTATCGTGAGGGAAGAGTTTGCAGTTGTTTAGTTATCTTCTGTTCAAATTATAAATATCTCTTGAGAGCCTATATGAAGGTCGTTTATAAAACCGGCTTTGATTCGCTGCTGCAACAAAACTTACATTCTATTTACTTGTTCATATGCCATTTGAACACTATCTTGGTCAAGACCAAAAGTTTTTAGTTCCCACTTCTTATTGGTCAATGCTGCTCCAGTAAATTTAAGTTACCCATTATAGACATGTGTTGAGCCATTGAGTGCTAAAAAGTCTCTGACAGTTACCAAAACAAAGAAGGACTTTCCAAGCGGTAACTGTACACTTGTACACGAACAAAAAAGCTTCGGAGCTTTGGCGTTCTGCGTGAAACACTGAACTCAAAATCATATGATTTGAAAAATCAAAATTTAAGGATTTATTTACTTTAACGTTAAAAAAGTTAATTATAAATGTAAAAAATCAAAACATTTCTCAAAAATATTTAGGCAGGTGACTCTTTCCGTTTTTTTTTTTTTTTTTGAGAATATAATTATTTCACGATTACAGATTAGAAAACTACGTACGCTGTTTCACTTAGTCGAAGATGAAAGCTCATAAAAAAGTGTTACAAAGTACCACACAGTTAAAACCATTACTGCCAGATGTCGAACCAGTTTTGCTACAAACTTTTCTTAAGCACTTCTCGAACTTATTCTGTTACAATGATTTCACTCTTCATTTAAGAAGTCACACATACAATGTACAGAGTTGGTTTATTTGCAAGGTTCAAACGCAGATTCTCGTAAAGCATGCCTCAAATTATCACTTGTCTCTGACCATTCCATAAAAATTTTTGACGATTCTGGTTCCGTAATCTGACCACAAATATGTGTCAATAGAGTTCCATTTTGCGTTTTACCTTAACACCAAACTTAATCACTGGCTAATTATCTACCTCTGTTTTTAAATAGTTAATATTTTTTGAAAAACAACATCAGAAAAAGTAAATAATGTGTATAACTACCTGCTAAAAGATAATCTTTACCAATACTAAGGCTGATTCCGCAAGCAGCCGAGTGATACGGTGTGTATATGACATTTGGTAATGTTCCATTAAATTCTGTCAGAACCTGAAGAAACTGGTTTAGTAAGAAATAAAAGATTGTTTTCTAGAACTGAACTAATCCAAAAACTATTAAATTCGTTTCTTAGCAAGAAACTACTCAAGCAGTTTATGAAATTAAAAGCTCATTTTGTTGCCAAGAACCAGAATTGTTTTACAGAATCATTATTAGTTTTTGCTGTAGTTGAACCAGGCTTCTAAGAAAATTTTTCTGCGTGGTCAAAAGTTCAAATTTAAACACTCTTCAGCTGCAACAACCTTAAATACTTCTACGTGAGTTACGTCAAAGCGATTGTATGTTGAGAGTTCCCCTGGCAAACTTGCAGAAGAATTAGAATTTCCTTCAACAATTTCACTAGCGCTAGAAGGTTCACCGACCGCATTAGGTTCTACATGGATCTGAGACACTGAAACAGAAGGTCTTTGAAAAGACCGATCATGTTGAAAAATTCAATGCTTTGGTTGGGAATGAACCTCTATGCGTTTCTTTTTCTCACATTTGACATAAAGTCCTAGCCAGTTCTTTTTAGATAAGCATACCCCAGTCTGCTGCACAATAGGCCTCCTTGGCAGACATTGGAAGACATTTACAGGCCTCTAACTGAGCGGAAGATGTGAGAACTAATAGAATTGCAATGGTCGATTCTATGAGACGCTTCATGCCTACAATTATCAAACACATTTTTTTTTTTTGGTAAACCTGATGGCATCCGATAAAATATTTAATTTTAAATGACGGATATTGTGATCAAGTTGCAAAACTTTTGGTCGAATTACTGAACGAAGTTTCATCGGGTTACAGCTAGCCAAGAATGGAAAGATTCTTTTATCCTTTCAAATTTTCAAAGGTCATTAAACGGGATAAAAAATGGGATCAAAAATTATTTAACAACATCAAATACTTCTAGTCTCACACAGGATTTCAAAAAATTTCTTATTAAACTTTGATGGTTTTCTACAGTCTTCGCAGGTTCATGGACAGAGCTGGAATATAACAGACGTCGCTTTTTGAAAACTTGGAACTTTGAGAAGAGTTTAATGGCACTGCAGAAGAGAAAAAAATAATGACATTACTTTTCCAGATTACTCAGCAGATTTCTGCGAAATTTTGTGCAATTGCTGTAAAGAAAATCAAAAAAAATAAGAGACTACAGGTAAAAAAGCGATATAGAAATAGCGCAGTTAATTTCAGAGCGACAGACAGCGAAGTTTTTCTAGTTCTCTGACATCAAATT